ACACACACACACACACACACACACACACACACACACACACACACACACACACACACACACTTGCACACACACGCATTGGCAAGCACTTCTGCAGGGAAGGAAGCGAAGAAAAATTTGGATACCAAAACTAAGATCACAAACCTGGAAAGAGAGTGTCTCCAGTCTTCTAAGATAGCCAGCAAGCTGGGTCAAAAGCCCTTGGTCAACGACACGTCCTCTGAATGTCTGTGAGGTAACAAGGTGCAAGAGCACTGAGAACAGCATGATTGGTCCCCGTGACGCGTAGCCAGCTCCAGCAGTTGTTCCTAGCCCTCCGGCACCTCCGCCGCCTAGTGCGCTGCTGGGTCTCACCAAGCTCGAAGCTGCACTCCCTCCTGCTGATGTTGGACGCTGACGATTACCAAGCCGATCAATATCAAACGATATCTGGTCCATAAGTGCCGGCACAAGGCTGGCCACTGTCTGAACAAGTGCCTGCACACACAGCTGCACATATGCATCCTTGTCCCTAGCAAGCCTCTCAATGGCCAAGACCATTTTTGCATTGCACAATGCCATCAGCCATCTAAGATTGGCTTTGCTAAGGAGCATTGCCAACACGAGAGCTTTCCCTCTCAGAACGTCAGCAGAATGCTCGAGCATGGTAACTACATTGCTCACCAAAGACTTCTCGTCTGCAAGTGCTGTCACATGTTTCCCAACGGCAGGAGGCCCAGCTAGGAGAAGATTCATCAGACAGACATAAACTTGCTGGCTCCTTGATGTACTTTCTGCAAGACCTCTGACGAGAATCTTGACCCCAAGCTTGTCCATTACATACGGAAGGAGTGCTGGATTACGACGAACGAGCCGTACAACTGTTGATCCAGCTGTCGTTCTCAAATGCTCCAGCTTCGAAGTCAGCATAATGTGGACCAAGTTTAGCACCACGTCTACCGTAGCAAACTTTACACCCCACTCCCCTGACTGGCTTGCAATATTTTCAATCGTTTTGACAGCGTAGTGCTGGGTTGTCTCATCCTCACCCTTCCTCAGCATCGACGCAACCAGTGCGATTGTTGAGTTTGGAACCTGGCACGCAAGCGCACAAGACAAGTTAGTTCCTTTGCCGGCAGTGGATGTCTGTGCTCAAGAATCCTCTCCAATAGATGCACAACATTTGATACAAAAATATACATGTTGGGATAGCGGGATTTGAACGAGGAACCTGCCCAAATATTTGCGGCATTTCAAGTGTTTTCTGTTTTTGCTGTTGTCAGGATATGGTGGGTTTTGGGCCCAGGACTCGCGCATAACATCTCTGTGCATCTAGCATAGTGCTAGGACCCTTTTGAGTGGTAGTTTTAGGCTTCTCTTTTGGGAGGCAAATCCCGTAGGCCCAGGCAAATAGCACTTCCCCAAAAGTAGTCGGTTGGGACAAAACCCTGGTTCAGAAATCATTCCTGCTGCTTGATGAGAGTAGAAGTGCGCAATGTTAGTCCTTTGGAACACATCCATTAAAATTGGAATAGTACAGCCCCTGCACAAGGATGACACGCATAGATTGAGAAGTGGTCCAAATATCGTAAAGAAAGAAAAAATAACTTCGTTACTTTTAGCACTACATTTGTTCAACTTTGTTGTTGTTGTTTTCGTGTGTGTGTGTTGTGTGTGTTGCGTGTGTGTGTGTGTGTGTGTGTGTGTGTGTGTGTGTGTGTGTGTGTGTGTGTGTGTGTGTGTTTTAAAAGACCCCAGATTCTCTCTCTCATTCCCTTCCCAAATCATCACAAGCCACCCGAAAAAGTTTATGGTAGGCAATATAATAGAAAATTGAAGGTTGGCCACGTTTGTGTGGTTCAGCACCAAGAGCCCACACACCCGTCTGCCGCCAAAGCGGCACACTTGCACATATACATTATGTATACATATATATTTCAAACCATAAGGGGATGGGAGGCAGCAGGCAACTTACCTAAGATGGAAGACTACTCCAGCAAGAAGGCACCGACCCGACCCCCTCAAAGGTCCGAAAAAACTTGGAGAGCGTGTCTGCGTGCGTGTGTGTGTGCGTGTGTGTGTGTGTGTGTGTGTGTGTGTGTGTGTGTGTGTGTGTGTGTGTGTGTGTGTGCATGCGTGCGTGTGTGCGTGCGTG